AAACTCAACCCGTTCAAAACTGACCTCTTTATCTTTCTCCCTAAACCCTGACCTCTTCCTAATTTCCCTATTATGGTTGAGGGCACCACCATGCTCCCAGTCTCCTAGGCTCCCAACCCCAGTGTCTTCCTTGACTCCTCACTTGTGCTCACTCCCCATATCCAGTCTCTTGCCAATGCCTGTGGTGTTGGCTTCATAATATCTCTCCCACCTGTCCCCTTTTCTCCTCTGATGACACTTACCACCCTGGTGTGGGCCTTCATCACCTCATTCCTGTATTGACTCAGTAGCGAGGTGGTTGGTCTGCCCATCTGAGTCCCTTTCCTACCACAGTCTGCTCTCCACTCAGCTGTCAAATTTGCCTTCCTAAAGTACAAGTCTGATCATATCAGCAACTCTATTTAGTAAATTCACGTGGCTGTCTCTTGCCTCCAGGATCAAATAAAGACTCCTCCTTTTGGCTTTTTAAGGCCCCTCACTGTCTGGTCACCTTCTCACACCAACCCTCCCCTTTCACCCCACGGTACTCTGCAGTCCAGTGACACTAGCCCCCTTGCTAGTCCTCAAACCTAACTCTCGGTCTTCTGACTCCAAATTTTTACTTCTGGCTCCCCATGCCTGGAACTCTCTCCCTCCTCATCTCTGCCTCCTGGCTTCCTTCCAGTCTCAAAAAACTTACCTTTCCCAGTCCTCCTTAACCTTGGTGCCCTCCCTCCATGATTATCTCTGATTACTCATGTACGTAGCTTGCTGTGTCCACTGTTATTTGAATGCTTCTTGGGAGCAATCAGTGGTTTGGACCTTTGTATCCCAGCACTTAGCATGGTGCCTGGCCCAGTAGACATTGCTGTCTACTGACTAGAGAAGTGACAAAGTGCTTTAGGAAAATTCATTTGCCAGCTGAACGGAGGGTGGACTGGAGTGGGGAGAGACTGGAACTGGGGTCACCAGCCAACAGACTATTCAGTAATCCAGGTGTGAGATGATAAGGGCCTGCATCAGAGCTGTAGCAGTGTTGGAGGAGAAAAGGAGGCGTATAGGGTGAGTAGACTGGGAGGAAGGTGGGAAGACCTTGATGACAGTAGTTAGCAGAATTCTAGAGGAGATTATTCTCTAAGTGGTTTGTGAGCATTTGGAATTAGAAAGCAGGGGTCACTTAGAGCCAGAATGGAGGTCTCTAAGAATGAGTGATGTACCCAAGTAATTTTGTTTGGTTTTTGGTAAAGCGACTAGGTTGATTGGTCAAGGAAATCGCACAGTCTGTCTGGATTTCAGCAGGCGTTTGGCAGAATATCTTTCAGTGTCTTAATGAACAAGATGGAGAAACGTAGGGTAGGTGAGAGGAGTTAGGTTGGACAATCATATCCAGAGAATGTTGATTAATGTCATTTAAAGAGACATCTGTGGTGGTGTGGCACAGGGTCGTCCTTGGCTCATCTTTGATCAGTGAGTTGAATGAAGACAGAGAGTATGATCATAACATTTGGAGATGACACAAAACAGATGTCTTAGATATTAACATATCTAATACCTTTGATGATAGCCCTTTAAGGTTTGCAAAGTGCTCTAAAGCTTACATATGTCAACTCTTCTAGTAGTGTAAGATAAAAAATCCTGCATTTAGGTTCAAAGAAAATCAACTTCAGAAGTACAATAAGGAAGCCTGACTTCAGGGTATTTCACGGGATGAAAGACTAAAGGTTTTGGTTGACTGGAAATTCAGCATAAACCGATTAAGATATTCAGTTCAAATGGGGACGTCTTGTAAGTACCTGTTAACTGTGTGAAATTGCCCAATAAATCCACTAAGTAAGTGCTTTGTGGCAGGTGTTTGCCCCAAAGAGTCAAGTTAAGGCACCTTTCCCCTCTTGCACAGGTGACTCAGGGCAGATTCACAAAAGAGGAAGTGTTTCTTCATAGGAGGGATCCTGGAGGGCCTGGGAGGCAGACCTCAAACTGCTCAGCTCAGGAGCAGCTCTGCCACCGAAACAATTCCTTTGGTGCCGGCAGCCCTGGGAAGAAGCTGGATGATTGTGCCAGTGATTCTCCAGGAAACCAAGGCCACCTGTGTCTGATTAGACTTTTGCTGTTCTCCCTCCCAGCCCTCCTGCTTCCTCTCTCGTTGCCACCCCTTCCTTCTCTTTGACCCCCTTGCTCCAACCCCAAAAGCCGCAATCTAAGGGTCTATGAATTGGCTGTGTGTTCATCAGTACTTCTCAAGAAGAGAATTGCCCATTGGCCGATGAATTCACATCTTATCCAGGAAACGTCAGCAAAGGCCTCAGGGGTGGGAATGTCAAGGATGCAGAGTGACGCCTGGTTATACCAGGTGATGTGTCCTACTCCCTTCTTTTGACCTTTTCATCTCCAAAAGGATCTATTCGATGATGCATGATACAAAGGGGCTGACATTTTAAATTGTGTATCATGTTTATCCAGGGTGGGGTTTCAAATGGAAACATTCAAGAGCTGGCACAGGACTGCGCTGACATCAGTAATTTGTGATGTATTGGGCTTTGAAGTGTGACCATTTCTTTCCTGGGGAAGGACAGTGCAGAAACAAGAAACTAAATCATATGTAACTTGCTATTATTTCACAAGACTGAGATGAAATAAGAATCCATAACAATTCCAGCTCTACCCCTCACTCAGATTGATAGTAGCATCCCCCACACATCAGTTGACTGGTGCTACTTTTTCTTTGCTGTGTCACCGCCATTTGTCTCCCTTGTGGCCTGGAGCTGGCCAACAAGGCCCAGAGAGGTGGAGGAAGTTGCTAAAGCTCACATAGGTGACAAGTGACTCATCTGTGTCTGAGCAGAGAGCCTCTGACTCCAGGTTCCCCATACTGAGGTTCCCCATTCCTGCTGCATCTTACAATGTAGGTGGAGGTCTCTCCACCTTTCATGGGCTGTCTATTGCTGAGTGAATGCTGAGTCTCTGGATCTAGCAGCCAGTGTTTATGGAAAACCTAAACAGGAACAAAGCACCGGGCTAGTCACTGTGGGGGAAGCATGTGGAGGACAGGAGAGAATCGCAGAGTCTCAGGGTTGCAAGAGTCCTCAGAGAACATCCAGGTAGACTTAGGTTGTTTCTGTCCTGGCCCTGGAGGAATTGATACCATTAAATAAGAAACAGGAACCGAATGAAGGAATGTAATGGTTATCCTTCTGAGTTTGTCTGGCTAACAAATTCAACTCAACAAACATGTCTGAGGCCCCCTACATGCAGACACTATACAGGAGATAGAAAGATGAAATGCAAAATCCGAAGAGCAGCCTAGCTAACACTAAGTATGTCTAGATGCTTAGCTACCCATGATCGATTGATTGGCTGATCGGGCCCCAACAACTCTTGAAGACCATTTGCTAAGGTGTGAAGATCAGGGCCACGAGGGGGGAATAGTTGTGCTTTTGAGGACAAGTGTGGTTATCATTTAGTAACATGGCCAAAAAGTCATCTTGGGCATACAGGAGCCCCATTTTATTCCGATTCTAGAGAGAGAAACTTCATGATTGTTAAAGTTAGGCAGGAGTGCCTCTTACACTTCCTTCAGTGCTCAGAAGGCCTGTGCTGCGGCCGTCCCTCTGCTTTATCACGCCACCGTACATCCAAGGATCCTTGTACAGTGTATTTTTAAAGGGCGAGGTCGGGAGAGAGATTGCCAAAGAAATTAAAGGAGGAGTATTTAGCCAACTTAAGCCAACAAATATTTATAAACTTGGAAATCCCTTTATTGTTAGTTTTCATAGAAACAAATGTACTAAGTGCAAATAGTTTTAATGTATTTGTTAAGGAAATTGCAAGATTCTTTGAGACTGACTATAGCTCATCTTCCCTCTGATATCCCTTTTAGCAACAGGATCATAGGCTTGGACCTGGAAGAGGCCTTGAGAGGCTGTCTGCACCAGCTCCCTCATCTTATAAAGGAGAAAACTGGGGCCCACAAAGCTTACAGGATTTTGTCTGAACCCTGGTCCTCGGACTCTAGATCTGAAGACAGCTGTGTGTGTGTGTGTGTGTGTGTGTGTGTGTGTGTGTGTGTGTGTGTGTGTGTGTGTGTGTGTGTGTTTTCTTTCAGTAACACTGACTCTTTCCTCCATTAGTGAGAATTCTTATGCAAGTAGAAGGAGATTTTTCTCACTCAGAGACAGAGGCGATGTTTTTGTCTGCTGTGAATGTTCCAAGTGTTTACTTGTAGCATAGATTACACCCTCAAGCCCTCTCCCCGGAAGCCTCAGTGCTGCTGTTTGTCAGGTGCTCCCTGGCTTACTTACCCTTCTCTGTCTAGTCATGAAACATTTATTGGTTCTCACTGGGTAAACAGTCCAGGACCTATGTATGCCAGGGGGGTTACAAATAGTAACAGTTCCCATTTACATAACTTTTTAAGGGTTACAAAGCATTTTGTATTTCCCCCCTAGATTACACATAAAGTAGGAGGCCAGCCTTAGAATCAGAAAGCACTGGAGTCCAGTGCTTTCTCTGAGCCGTTCTGTGTACCTGGTCAAACGGTTGAAGTTGAACTAAATAACACTGTAAGGAGTTGACTAGCATGGATGAAGAGTTTCCTCGATGGAGGCTTTCTACACAGATAAAGTCAGCGGTCCACACTTTAAAAAAAAAATAATTACAGATGAAGAAACTAAGGTACAAGGTCAAGTAGCTTACTCATTGGTCATAGAATTAGTAGGTGTCATAGACAAGCCTTGAGCCCAGGACCGTGGTACCAAACCCACTACACCATGCTGCCCCTAAGGAAATAGCATCAAGATGGCAGTTTAATGATGTGGATTTCTTTTTTATTATTTTTTTAGTTCTCCAGTGTAGCTTTACCTGTCTCCAGCCCCTGCTGTTACCTTGTGATTTGATGTAATACGTTGTAATGAAACTCAGATACTTACTTCCCTCTTAATTTTTCCTATGTACAGTTAACTATGGGTACAACCTGCATAATTTTGCTTTAACAAAACTGTGATTATTTCTTCTGTTCTTGATAGCCAGTGCCTCTTGGGATACCTTTCTCATGCTATGGGATTTCAAGCCACAGCCTAAAGCTCTCCGCTATGTGGGTCACAAGGATGTTGTGACCAGTGTACAGTTTTCACCACTTGGAAACTTAGTGGCGTCTGCCTCCCGAGACAGGACCGTTAGACTATGGATTCCTGATAGGTAAGCGTAATTGACCAAAATTGCTGTTTTCTGAAATTGAAACGTGAGGGGAAAGAGGGAGTGTTTGGCTATGGAGGGCTTTGTCTGGGTTTAATAATAACAATGATAAATAGCTAACAATTATATAGTTGTGCTAAGCCTTTACAAATGTCTCTCTTGATCTTCACAACAACTCTGGGAGATAGGTGCTATTATTATCCCCATTTCACAGATGAGGAAACCGAGGCAAACAGAGGTTAAGTGACTTGCCTGGTGTCACACAGCTAGTAAGTCTCTGAAGCTGGGTTTGAACTCGGGTCTTCCTGATTCTAGGCCTGGCGATCTATCCACCTAGCTGCCTCAATCCATATGAATTGATACTTACACATTTCCTAGCGCCTCCAAACTGTTGAGTCCCTTAATTATACTAGACTTAGTTTCAACATGTAAAAGACTCCAAGCCTTCCATGGTCCCCCTGTCCCCTACTTGCTGAGCTGAAAACCTTACTTTATATATACATCACTAGAAAATTGGGGGCATTTGTCAAGAGCTCTCTCTTCTCTCTTGTTCTTCATCTCACATCACTCAAATGTCTTTCCCCACCATGAGCTCCTTCACTCCTGCTTCACATAATGAGGTGACCCTTCTCCATGCCAAGGTAAACCCCTCTACATGCACAAATTATCCCATTATCCATCCCAGCCTCATCCCATGTACCCTCTATCATCCCCATTCTCTTATTTATCTTCAGTCTCTCCCTACCTACCGGCTGCTTCTTTGATGCCTACAAACGTGCCCATGTCCCCCTCATCCTTAAAAAATCCCACATTTCATCCATCCATCCATCCATCCATCCCTCTCTGATAGCTAGTGTCCTATGGCACTACTCCCTTTTAAGGCTAAACTCCATGAAGAGGCCGTCTACAGCCAGGCGCCTCCACTTCCTCTCTTCAAAACCTTTGTCCTCGTCATTCAACTGAAATTGCCTTCTCCAAAGTTACCAATACTCCCTTAATTGCCTAATATCATGACTTTTTATTTTTAATTTTATTTTATTCTTCCACTTAATCAAAGTCTATTTTCCCTCTATTCCAGCCCCCACTGATTGACACAAAACCCTTGTCACAAATATGGATAGTCAAGCAAAACAGATTGCTGCATTGGAATGACCTTTCCTTAATCCTTATCCTTTCTGAACTCTGCCACCTCTGACCCTGATGATCATTCTCTTCTCTCTGAAACTCTCTCCCTCCTCAACTTTTGGTGTCACTGTTCTTCCCTGGTTCTCTTACCTATCTGACCACACCTTCCCATTCTCCTTTGCTGGATCTTCATCCAGGTTGCACCCACTGCCTGGGGGTATCTCCCAAAACTCTGTCCTTGGCCTCTTCTTCCTCTCTTTTCTCTCCCTTTGGGATCTCATCAGCTCTCATAGTTCAGTTATCATTTCTTTTGTTTTTAACTAGTTTGCTAGTTGGGTGAGCTATATAAGATAGCATTTCCAAGTTGTCTTAAATTTCTCTGATGATTAGAGTTTAAACAAATTTTTGAGTCAGATCTATTTTTAACACTTTTCATTCAGTCTTTTTATCAGCCGTTCCATCCAGGCTAAAGCCCCGTCTTAGGTACACTCTGAACCATGGGTAAAGGTGAGAAAGCCATTGTCTTCTGCCCTTCCCATGCTGCACCTGCATTATTGTGTTCAGTTCTCAATGCCACATTTCGGGAAGGACTCTGAGAAGTAAAGAGGCTCCAGAAGAGAATGGGCAAGACAGTGAAAGTCCTCAAGATCCCACTGTGTAAGGATCAGTTTAAAGGAACTGAGAATGTTTAGCCTGGAGAAGAGGGACATCATAGCCGTCTTTAAGTCTTTGAATGGCTGTCCTGTGGAAAAGGGATTAGATTGGCTATTCCTGGCCTCAGAGGGCAGAAATCATAGTGATGGGCAGAATCTGAGAGGCAAATTCAGATCTGATATGAAGAAAGAATTCTAACCATTTAGAGCGGCAAACATTTATTAAATATCTCCATGTAATGGAATTTCAAAGATGAAAAATGATATTGTCCCAGCCTTAGGGAAGTTACAGTCTAATTGGAATAGGAGAGATATATTATGTACACAGGTAATCAGTGGTATGCTGGAGCCAGCTTGTAATAGCACAGAAGACCAATTGTTAAATTTCCACTGTGAGTATTTGCATCTTGGAAATTGACAAATGCTGAAAATCAAGGCTTGATTTATTGTCTTGTGGATTTCTAGACTTAGGAAAGTGATGGAGAAAATGTTAATAATGCAATTAAGCTTAAAAGTACAAAATTCCCCCCCCCAGCTGGTTGTTAAACATTTACCAGCACACACCTGGATATGTTTGGTACAGTTTAACATGTGATGAGGCAAAGAAGAGCTAGGCAAGTTGCTATGAGAAATATAAGGAGGGAGAAATTACTTTTTTTAAAAAAAAATAAATCTTATTGATGTATTTTTGTTGTTCATTTGTTTTACTTGTGTCTGACTCTTTGTGACTCCCTTTTGAGGTTTTCTTGGCAAAGATACTGAATTGCCATTTCCTTCTCCAGCTCATTTCACAGATGAGGAAACTGAGGCAAACAGGGCTAACTGACTTGCCCAGGGTCACACAGCTACTAAGTGTCTGAGGCCAGATTTGATTTCAGGAAGTTGAGCCTTAATCCAGGCCTGTCCCTCTATCCACTGCACCACCTTGCTGCTATTTTGTTTTTACTAGCCCTAAATTTCCCTTTGTATCCTTCATCTTCCCTTTAGAGAGTTATCTCTTACTATAAAGAATTTTAAAAAGAAAGAAAAAAAGAAGAGAAAAAAATTTAGTAAAAACCTATCAGTACATTAAGAAAATGTGACCTTGTATGCAATGTTGCATACCTGTGGATACCATCCGGTCTTTGGTGAGAAGCAGAAGGAAGTGTCTTCTCATGCCCAGGAAAGATCACTTTCACCTGGAGAGTCAGAGGAGACTTCACGGAAGCATCTAAGTTGGGCCTTGAAGGAAGTGAAATACTTCAACAAACAGTGATGAGAGTTGGAAGAAGAGTCTATTCCAAGCATAGGGGGACGAATGTGAGCGAAAGGCCAAGAGGTGGGAAAGGGTATGACGAGAACACAGTACAGAGAGGAATCCTCTTTGTTGGGGCATGGCCTACAGCAAGGGAATCAATGTTAAGTTTGGCTGAATCAGTAGGGAGGAGCTGAAATGTTATTATGGAGCAATTTGGAGCTGGGGAGAGTTTTGTTTTATTTTTAATAAAGGAGTAGTATGATTGTAGTGGTTAGGCAGATTACTCAGGAAGCAGTGTGGAAGAGGGATTAGAGAGGTTATAGTTTGTAGACTGGAAGGCCAACTAAAGGTTATTGTCATATTCCAGGTGGGAAGGGTTCAAGCCTTTAAATAGTGGTTACTGTGGGAGTGTAGAAGAAAAGTTAGGTACAGGAAGTATTGTGGAGCTAGGAAGGGCAGCTTTTGGCAATGAACTGTTTATTTGGGGCGAGGGACAGGGGCGATCAAAGATAGTGCCAAAAGGGGTGTTAGAGGTACTGTTCACAGAGATAGAAAAGTTGGGGGAAAAGATTGATTTTGAAGCATCTGTCTATCCAGGAGAAGATACTAACCAGGAGTTGGAAATAATGAGAGTGGGATTCTGAGGAGAAATTGGGAATGGAGAGCTAGGTGTGGGTGTTCCCTGCAGAGAAATCGAAGCTATGTTAATAGATGAGAAAACTGAGGAGGAGAGTGTGGGTAGAGAAGGGAAGAGAGCCTAGGGCAGACACTTGTAGAACATATACATTTAGGAGGCAGGTGGAAGGTGAAAGCCTAGAAAAGAAGGACAAAAAAGGAGTTAATAGATGAGTAAGAGGAGAACCACGAGAGCCACGTCTTGGAAGCCAAGGGTGGAGATGACGTCAAGTTGGAGGAGGTAGCCCGAGGGAAAGTTTAAAGAGACCAAGGATAGAGACAGATTGCACTGAAATTTGTCAATTAGGATACTATTGATGACCTGGGAGGAGAGCAGTTTCTTTTTCTTTCTTAATTTTAAAATTTATTTTTAGCCTTCATTTAAAAAAAAATGTAGTTCCAAATTCTCTCCTTCTGCAACATGATATCAATTATACATGTGAAGTCATGCAAAACATTTTCAAATTAACCATGTTGCAAAAAACAAAAACAAAAGGAAAAAATATAAAGAAAGTAAAAAAGTATGCTTCAATTTGTACTCAGAACTCATCAGTTCTCTCTCTGGATATGGATAGCATTTTCCATCATGAGTCTTTTGGAATTGGCTTATTTCATTGTATTGCTGAGAATAGTTAAGTCATTCATAGTTGATCATTGTACAATATTGCACTTATTGTGTACAGTGTTCTCCTGGTTCTGAATACTTCACTTTGTATCAGTTCATAAAAGTCTTCCAAAGTTTTTCTGACACCATCCACTATATTATTTCTTATAAAGCATAACAGTATTCCATTACAGTCATATACCACAACTTATTCAACTATTCCCCAAATGATGGATGTCCTTCAATTTCCAATTCTTTGCCACCACCAAAAGAGCTGTTACAGATATTTTTGTACATTTAGGTCCTTTTTTCCTTTTGGGAGAGCAGTTTCAATAGAGTGGGGTGGGGAGCAGACTCCCCAGGACTGAGTGGGTGCTGAGGAATTAGAGACATTAAGTACAATACAGGACTCTTCTTTCCCAGAATTTATCAATGAAGAGGAGGAGAGAGTGAGGATGTGGTAATAGCGTTGAGGTGGGGTGGGGCAGGACACTTGGTTTTCTTTGAGGGGAAGATACAGATATTGGAGACCTGAGCATATAGAGTGGAAAAATATACAGTAGAGAAGGAGAGATGAAAGATGTAGGACAATGAGGGAATAAATGATTGTGGAGAAAAGAGGGCAGGAAAAAATATCAAGGGTACAGATGGAGGGGTTTGCTTTTACAAATTGGGGGCTCATCTCTTCCTTTGAAATTGGAGGGATGGA